GGCGTACACGGATATCTTTGAATGAATCTCATTTTCGTATTTGCAAGCAGCGATGAATATCTGTCGTGGATTTTGCTAAAGTTTCATCTTTGATGACTTACGTAGAAATAAATATTGATGGTAAACACTGTCTCTACACAAGTGTCACATACAAGGGGGGTCGTATCAAATCACCCATGAAGGGGGGGGGTCGTAAAAAATTTCCGAAGAGTAACAACGATAGGGTTGACCCTGCCTCCAAGGCTGACGCCGCAACGCAGACGCTTTCTGCGGCGGCGGCGCAGACGCTTTCTGGCGCAACGGATTCATGTCTAGCACTCTTATTAACAAAAACAGGGGGTCGCAACTGGACCCCCTCGAGAGCTAGGGGGTCGCAAAAATCCCGAAAATGTTCGAACGTGACGGTTGACCCTGATCACGACCCCTTCGTGCACGCTCCGCCTTTCAAAGCAAAACAAGGTTGGACTAAAAGAAGACCCTTTTTGAGTATTTAGTGAAGGGTTCAATCACGCATCTTACATTGGAAACCTTGATGGCATTTCATGCTGTTGCGGCTATGTTGCATCAGGAAATCCCTAATTGTTCTTGTGAACTGAGAATTTACTCAGCAGAAGAGCACCAGCAATCGGTAATATGTACAAACTCACAACGCTTCTCAGAAAAATTCGCTCAATGACAGCATTTCAGGTACATTCGTAATGTGGTGAAGCCATTATTTTGTACAACTGTCACGCTGTACACGAAATGGTTTACTGGTGGTACTACAAGAAGCAACAGCACTTCCTTATTTGGAAGTACTGCATAACTACGACCAAAGAGCTTTCATCTACATTCGAGGAGTCATGCATAATAATACGGAATTTCCATCCACATGTGATATTTACTACATTTTAGCTGCGTCATCTGAACACAATTACGAGGTCAAATTGTAAATATGTTAATTTATTAATTCATCATTCATCGTTACTAATACATCTTGCTGTTCAATTTTTTGAAATGTACAGCATTCCATCGAAGATCGTTGCTCATACACTGCGTCCCATAATTATAACTCCACCTAAGAATTTCCCAAAATCTCACAAATTAGATGTTTTAGAAAAAGTCTCCAATGTGGCAGTGTAGTAAATACAAATACGAAATTGCCTATAAACATCAACTTCCAACTTGAGATCCCAGGAATTTTTTCTAATAATTTTTGTTCAAAAGGCCACTTAGCCGACGTCCCAAAATTATAACTCCACCTCATGTTTTTCTATTATTTTTCACTTCCGTTTCGCCAAACTTTTTTATTGTGCTAACATTTACTTCTCAAGGGGACAGTATGATAGAAAATGCTGTCTGACTTTTAAAAGGTCAGTCGTCGCAAAAACTGTTGAACA